TTGGTCACAGAGAGGAAGACCGTCTTGTTTGCTTCCTAACAGCGAAACATTTTCCTTTTAGATGTATAAGTACTAATTAGAATAGGATCCGATGGCCCTGTCTCTTTTCTACATTATCTATTCCCGTGCAGTCACCTTGTTTAAAACACACCTGCCTTGTCCATTTATCTGACAACCTATGTCAAGTACATTTTGGTGCATGTACGTTATAAAAGATGAAAGAATACTGTCATGTGTATTTTTAGCAAAATTAGATAGTCCAGTTTCTTGTAACAGCAAAATATTGTATGATCACCTCCTTCCTGTTGAATGAACATACCAAATTTCCCTTTTGTCCTGGGAACTACATCACTCACTCATCAGAGATTTGGTTTATATGATCAGCTTCACCATCGTCAGTGGAATCAGGGGTTCTTTTCTCTCTCTGCATTTATCTCTGGTTCATCTAATACTTGTGAAACACCTTCCTATCTCAGTTTTCTTCTCTTTGCCATTTGGGCATGAAATAAGAATTCTGAATTTTCAGCTGAGCTGGTGCATTGTCGTGATGCAAGAGCCATGAATTATTGGTGAAAAGTTCGGGTCGTCTAAATTTTTCATGCAGCCTTTGTTTAAGGAAGACATTTTGATGACATTCAGGACCTCAAGGGTAATACGACAACAGCTCTGATGGCCATTCCAGAAAAAGAGTTCCAAAATTGCTTTGAAGGGTGGACTAGGCGCTGGCATCAGCACATAGCTTCCCAAGGGGAGTACTTCGAAGGTGACTATAGTGATATTCAGCATTGAGGTATGTAGCACTTTTTCTAGGATGAGTTCACGAACAGAATTGTCAGAACTTGTACACACTTTTTGAGCATACATGGAATATTCACCAAGATAGACCATTTCTAGGGTCATAAAACAGACCTAAGCAAACTTAAAACAATCAAACGCACACTAAGTTTGTTCTCTGACCATAACAGAATTGAACTAGAAATCCATAACAGAAAGATATTTAGTGCAAGTCCACTGGAGACAAATTGTCTTAGTTTTCCTTCATTGAGAATATTGCCATTGCTCCTTCATTCCTAACAGATATTTTTGCTGGATATAGAATTCTGGGTTGACAACTATTTTTCAGCACTTTAAAAATGTTGTTCCACTGCCTTCTGGCTCCCCTGGTTTGTGGTGAGAAGTCTTCAGTCATTCAGATGACCCCCCTCCGCCCCACCCCCACCCCATATTGTTCCGTGTTTGCAAGTTGCTTTCAACATCTTTTATCTTTGGCTTTCAGTAGTTTTAGTATGATGTGTCTGAGCATTATTTTCTCTGAGTTTGTATTGTGGAGGGTCTTGCTGAACTTCTTGATTGTATAACTTTATGTTTCCATCAAATTTGGGGAGGTTACAGCTATTATTTCCTCAACTTTGTAATTTTTTTCTGCACCAATCTCTCCTCTCCTTTTGGTTTCCAATGACATGAATATTAGACCTTCTGATTTTGTGTCACAGGCATTGTAGCCCCTAAGGCTATATTCTTTTCTCTTTTTTTCTCTGTTGATCGGATTGGAGTATTTCCATCCTTCTATTTTCACATTCACTGACTCATTCCTCTGTCATCTTCATTCTGTCATTGAGCCAATCTAGTGAAAATTTTATTTCAGTTGTATTTTTCAATTCTAAAGTTTCCATTTGGTTTCTTTCTTTTCTTTCTTTCTTTTTGTCTTTTAAGCTTCTATTTCTTTGCTCAAAACTTCTGTCTTTCCATTTATTTCAAGGACATTCACTCTCAACTTCATCGTTAGAATAG